TTTTTCGGCAGGGTGAGGGGGGGGGGGGGGGGGGGTCTTGATCACCGTATCCAAAAGACCCTAACTTTTAAAGGAGCTTTTCTTCACAAACCAAGCAGCTAGATTTGGTGTCTCCAACCGAGGGTGGAACACTGGACCCTGGAAGAGCAGATCCTGTCTTGACAGCAACATTAGAGGAGGCTGGAAAACCAAGGTCTTTTGGCCACAAAGAAGCTATCAAGGTGAAGCCTGTGTTCTCTTCACCAAACTTCTTTATTTACAAACAGCAGGAGCTTGAATGGGGGAAAACACACAGCAAAGCTGGAAGGGCCAATAATGAGCCTGAGGAAGCACTCTCCCTGTTCAAGAAGACAAGAACGTTTGTGTTCTCTTGGGTGGCAAACAGGCCCACCTGTGTAACTTCCCACTTCTGAGTATTGGCAAGACATCCATATTCAAAATCCATTCTGATTCCCTTAACTGATGTTGGCTAAGGAAGTCTGCTACGTGATTCAGAGTCCCCTAAGTAGAAGGTTTCTGTAGGCGTCCAGCATTGCCATGAAGCAGTCATAAGTCAAGATTGTTCTTATTGAAAATATGTTGTCCATGCAAATCCTTTTATAAGTTATGGACTTGTCTCAAGTCGAGAATGAGGCGGAAAATGCCAGAGGGTTTCTGAACGACAAAAACATGACAGTAGAAATCTTTTTTTTTCCTACTGAAACCGGAATAAGCATGCATTGATTGACCAATTCTATCAGAGCAATAAGGGCTGTAGCCTTCCCTTGATATTTCGGGGTAGACATGATGAAAGCCCTTGATGGCAGACTTTCTGAGAACACCAGACGATATCCCTCTCCAATGAGCCTCTGCAGATACTGGTTTAGGGTTAGTTTTAGACACTGCGAAATAAAGGGACCCAACCATCCTCCACTCCAAGCCAGGCCCAAAAAAGAAGCAGGCTATCCACAAAGGGATACCACAAAGACGGACTTTAGAACCTGGGTCCCCATTCCAAGTTCTGAGCCATAAGACTCTGCTGGAGGAACTTGTAAGGGCTGCCAACCTAGTAGATATTCTTACAGATTCAGCAGAGGCATCACTCATTAAGCCAGCTGCTTTGAACTGCATGGGGAAAGAATCCATCATTCTCTGTCCATTAATACCTGCTTCCTGATGCGAGCCAATATTCCAAATTACGGTCCATGCAAGCTGAGGCCAGGGCTGGCTTAAAGGAGAACTATGGGGTTAAGGCTTTTCCCCATAGTTCTCCTAAGCTCAGTATACTGCATGCTACAGCTCGCGGTATACTGAGACGCCGCAGCTAAAGCGGATCCCGACAATTATGTCTGGATCTGCCCAGCTGCGTGAGTGACAGCTGGCTCTGCCTATCTAGAGGCAGAGCCAGCTGTACCCGTCCCCTCCCCCCTCTGCCAGTCAGCGCTGTGTGTTCGACCACCTCCCGATCTACTGAGCCGACCGGTGACAGTCTCATTGTCACAGGTCGGCTAGAACTATGAGGTGAGTGAAAAGCACCTCACCTCATTAGTTCTCCTTTAAGGTTCAGAAGGGAGGAATCTCAAGCTCTCTTGAGTAACACATCCATTCATTTATCTATGGTATTCTTAAGGAAAAAGCTGCATCAAGTTAAAGCACTTTAGCCCAAGTTAGGGCAGGATCTCCCTCAAAAAAAGGAACCTGTGCTTCAATTCCTTAGAAAAGAACAGCTTAATTTCAGGTTCAACCCATTCTTTCCTAATCGAATCTCTGAGAGTACTATGGACAGAAAAAAAAAACAACAACCCTTGTCCTTCCCTAAGGCAGTGATGCATCTGGTCATTCATGGACATAGAAACTTGCCCCTCCTGACTGTCACAGGTTTCACAGATGACTCTTAGAAAAAGAAAGTTTATATCTGGAAGGCTTGGATTCCATATCACGCCATTCACCATCACCTGGGAAATCAGACTGATTAAGCTCACAGAGAGAATCTGCATTCTCCTCCTCCATGTCTACGTTTCTAGTGGCAACCTCAAACGCAAAAAAATAGATGGTTGGCTTGGGGGCCTAAGGTCAGAAAGCAAAAATCTATAGGACTGGAACGTAGATGTTTGTCATGCTTAATGTTAGAAATTAAGTCCTTGCACATAGGAGAGGACTATTTGTGAAACAATCTTTCAATATATTTTTGACATAACGACGGTTTGCTCCAATTTCAGCATTATCTTATATTCTGCACATTTTTATCTTTAGGATTTGGAGGTGGTTAAAGTCCAGGATTTTTTTTTTATTAACCCTTGCAGTGGGGCTACCCCCACGCTGCAAAGAGTTAAGTGCTCATTTGTGTCTAGGTGCTAAAATAACAAAGATATACTCACCCAAAGCACCGAGCCAGCCAGCTGTCAAGGCACTCCCTCCAGCATTGTAATATTCCTTAGCGCCCTCGCGTCTATACACTGGAAACAGAGGGCAAGAAGGAATGGCTTCCCCTCCTCTCCCCAACAGGTAGGTGGAATAACTAGGTGAAGTCTCACCTACCCGAAAAGTACTGGTGCCTGCTGTTAACTGCCACTGCCTCCCCTTCTATGCTCATGATGCACAGTGGAGCAGAACACAGAGTGAAGAGGAAGAGCCAAGTGGTCCAAGCATCTGCTCTCCCTGCAACAGCACCAGAAGTCATGCTATGGAAACCTGCCTCCTGCTTCCCACGGGCCAGAACTTCAGGCCCCACTCTACTGGAAGTTATGCCTGGTGCTGCCAATCAGGTACTGTCCAATGCTAGCTGCGAGCAAATATGGCTACTTTTGTTCCTCATGGTCCCTGTGTGTGTTGTAAAGTAGCCACCACTCCATGCACACTCCTGACTAACTTCAATACAAATTAGCTAATTAAACGTGAGATTGTATTCCATTACAGGAGTGAGCTTGGAGTCGTGGCTACTTTACAACACACACAGGGCGGTTAGAAAGGTGCCGACACTGTCCTTTCTAGCCACCCTCCTTAAGGAAGGACAGGGTCAGCACCAATTCAGAGATGATTTGAGGATGTACAGCCGAGCGATACACAAATAAGATACATTTTTGTTAATAGTTGAGGAGCTTGAATGTATTTGTAAGATATAACTCCTGAGTTTAGTGTCACTTTAACTGTGTTCAGAAATTGCTGTAGGAATAAGATGTGAAGCAGTCATTTTAAGGTTAGTGTCACTTTTATTGCGGTTTTTGCCCCCAGTTTACATTAAATATAGAGGTGACACAGGGATCTGCCGTGGGCAGTGGAACAGCTGTTGACGGAAGTCTTAGTTCCCTGCTTCATTACATACAGATGTAAGACAGGGATTTCCTTTGCTCAGTGCAACGCATCAGGATGTCACATGGATCTCCTCTAAGCATCATGAACTGCTCATGAAGGGTGGCTTGGCCCGTTGCCTCCACTACATCAAGAGGAGACACGAACATCTTCTCTCGCCAGTAGAGGGGATCAGGGTGCCTCTCTCAGGGCATGAACAGCTGGTGATGGGTATCTCAGATCCCTTGCCTCCATTACATAGAGGTAACACAGGGATTTCCTCTGTGTTATGATAGCTGTTGATGAGGGGCTCAGCCCCTGTGTACATTATATACAGATGTGGCACAGGGATTTCTTCTGGGCAGCAAAAGGGGGCCAGGATGTCTCTCTGAGGGCATGAACAGCTGTTGAGGGGCTCAGCCCCTGTGTACATTATATACAGTTGTGGCACAGGTATTTCCTCTGGGCAGTAGATGGGGCCAGGTTGTCTCTCTCAGGGCATGAACAGCTGGTGTTGATTGTCTCAGATCCCCTGCCATCTGCACATACAGGGGTGACACAGCAATCTCTCTTGAGCAGTAGAGGGGACCAGGGTGTCACAGAGTATGAACATCTGGCGGACGCAGCTTCTAGGCCTCTGTCTTCCCCTCTGACATATCTCTGCATAAGGGAAGGGCCATGCTGCACGGCTCGCACGCTCTCACCTGTCATCAGTTTTGCTCTTCTGTTTTTTCCCCATAATGGCGATGTCTCTCAGAATGTACTTAGTCTCAGCTCTCTCTCACCTCGCTGCATACGGTGGCCACAAGCCTCTCAAATTCTACCACAACGCATGTGCATGACCCGGCAACCTGAAGTGACGTCATCAGCCGGGGGCCGCGCTTAGCCAATGGCGAACAGAAAGAGTCATGAGTTTATCATACACTGCAATGAGTTTTAAGCGGTGAAATTATTATTGTCCGCATCTTCATTAAATGACCGATGTATGGCGTACATGGCGTGTGGAAGTTGTAAAGTGTCAGTCAAGTTTGTGCGCATCGTTAGGGTGTACCAGCATGGCCGCTGCACGTGTAGCCTTACAGTAGCAGCCACTGAGGCATTAGGTGCTGCTAATTTTCAAATCCTGCTATCGATAGTTTTAATGCGATGAGTGCACTTTAAATCACTAACATTTTGAGTATTGTTTAAAGTAATTTCAACATTCGCAGGGGTCTGCCAGTAATAAAGATGGCGGTGTGTGTACACGCACAAGCTACAGCGAGTTTTCAGGGAAAAGTCACGTGAGAAGCGTCATTGCGCTCTTTGCAGAACGCGGTGTGGACGTTAGGTTGTCGTGACAGTGGTATCTGTTGGTGGGAGTGGTTGAGCGAAGAAAGAGCAGAAAGCAGGTAATGGGGCCGAGGGGAAGGATGGCGAGCCTTGTGGACCCCACAGAGCAATCAGGGGTAACCTTTACTAGCCCTGTCTGTCAATAGCGGGGTCGCCACTGTGCGCCAAGTAGGCCTCAGCAATAGTCTGCGTCACCCAGCCCTTCGCAGTACATAGCAGACCCGCTTTGTTTCTGCACACCACCTGTGTGCTGGACTCTGGCACTATACATAACCATCTGAGGCCTACCTTCTGCATTGTCAGGGTCACTTGTTGAAATACAAGAGATCAGCTCCCAGTGTGGTGGCTGATTCATTTTTATTGGTGCTGTATCATGGTTTGGAGTATGACCACACACTACCAGAGACAGATTAAAGTGTAGATTACCCCAAAAATTGTATTACACTTATGTGTGTGATGTAAATGGTGTCTTCTTTAATTCCTCCCAATTGATCCTGACAGTCCCCCCTCTCATTCCAATCATGTCAAGCACAGAAGCAGATCCATGCTGGTGTGGTCAGTTTGTGGATCACTGCTTCCTCTTAGTGGTGCACATCGTTCCTGTAGCTCCCCTGGTCAGATTTAGACCCCATTCACACTGAGCGACATGCAAATCGCGTGACTTTGAGCGACATTGAGCGACATCTTCCTATTGGGCTGTATGCAATCAGGAGCAATATCGCTCAAAATCGCTCTAAAAAAGGGTCATGTAGAAGCGACGAGCTACAAGCGATATTGAGCGACATTGAGCGACGAGATGTGAACAGCTACATTGAATTGTATTGGTGAAGCTACATAGAGCGATATAGTGCGGAAATATGAGCGATATCGCTACAAAAATCGCGCGATAAATCGCTCAATGTGAACGGGGCCTAATGGCCCCAGGCCCAGCCCTGTTTACTTGATTGCTAGCGGTTCCCAGGAGAAGCCTTGCCGGACAGTGTACGCTTCAGGAAAGATATTTCACTGCTGTGTGTGACAAAAGAAGCACCTACCTGCTTTGGAAAGGGACACACCTCCTCCAATAATACAGAAGGCTTTGTAGTCATGTGATCATAAAATACAACTACAAAAAAGGCAGTAAATGGTTCTATTCTATACAAAATAAATGTACTCATTGCCTAGCAATAATATCTACTATGTGAATAAAATAATAGATATTTTAAAGGAGAACTATGAGATGAGTGATTTCCACTCACCTCATAGTTCTAGCCGACCTGTGACAATGAGACTGTCACAGGTCGGCTCAATAGATCGGGAGGTGAGCGAACACAAACCAGGTTCGCTCACCTTCCGATCCTGTCACGGCTGCTCTGAAAGACGGCTCCATGCTTCCTCGTCGCCATGTGGCAAATCATTACACACCGCCCGGCTTCCTTAATGGGACTTCTGGTATTGGTACTCATTACCGAAAAACCGGTATCGGTGCATCCCTACTTATGTTGTGCAGTTTTCCTGTGATAAGTTCTCTCCACCGCACTTAGTGCTGCCACTAGGTCATGTACTTGCCGTTGCTGAGTTTCAGTGTGTGGCCCCACTAAGAGGTGCACAGCCTTTCATGAGCATATGCTCATGGATACCATAGCCCTATTTATTCTTATGGGAGACTGTACTCTGACCACTTGAAGCCACCATAAGTACAGCACACCTAAAGAAAAGGGGCTTTTTTGGGAGAAAGACTGTAGGGACACAGTGGCAATTGCTGGATCAGCGTTTAGGGTCAGCATTTCACTTAGGGGGAGCTCATTACAAGAAAACGGTACAAGGTATTGTTATATTTTAAAGATATAGTGGGATGTGTAAAATACAGAGTGAGTCAGTCTGTGTAAGGTAACACAACATATCTGTATGGCCTAGTTCGCACAAGCTTCAGCTTGTATAAGAGCAGTGTGCATACTGAACTGCTAGCAGGCTTCAATCAAGTTTCACATATACACTTTACACATCTAACAGTTTACTTTAATGGACAGAGTGTTGTCAGCTAAAAATTTGAGGAAAGATAAGTGTGGTGCCCACAGCGACCAATTGAAATGGCTTTCTTCTCCACATTTCACTAGTAAGGTAGAATCATACTGTTACCATATGTACTATATTGGACTTAGACCATTTCTTTTCTTCCAGTTTAAATTTTTTAAAAATAGGAAAAACCAGAAAATAGAACAAACATATATACTAGTCTAGTAATTTTCTCTTGGCTGTCATGAAAAGTTTTTAATAGTTTTAGCATTATATTTGTTTGTTTTATTTATTTTTAGAAATGGCGGCTGACATGTTTTCAAAAGTCATGGAGAACCAGTTATTGCAGACTGCCAAGATGATGGAGGAGCAGCTGGATGCTGAGATGGAAAAGCTAGATAAGATGGATGACGATGAATTGGAGCTCCTAAAGGAAAAGCGACTATTAGCTTTAAAGAAGGCTCAGCAGCAAAAACAGGTAACTTTCTTTAAAGGGAACCAACAACCATGCAAAGCTAATCCCTCTGTGCTCTATATATGATGTAGTATGCATATAGTAAATGTGTACATACGATATAAAATCAATCTACAAATAAAATGCAGACCACTACAATTGCAAAAATGGCTCTGATACTGTAGACCAAGCAACTGGTAGTCCAAACATAATTGTAGGATACACATAACAATAAGGAACAAGGAGGGTGCATTTAACCCTCTCCCCCATCAAAACAGTTTAATAGTTTAGCATTAGGTCAGCAATACAACCTCACTGATTGAGAGGAATCATTCAAATTCCCCACCTCCGTTCACACTAAGCAGAATGGATATAGGAATCCACACTACCAGCTCTTTTATTTAGATAGCTGGTACCTGCTGCTGAACAGTGACTGCTGATAGAATGCAGTCATTGTTTGGCTGCCAATTTTCCACTCTACTCCTTCAATTTTGAAGTTGGCTTTTGCCGAGCCAGGTGGTATTGACAGGGCCACTTATTGCTCGCTTAAGTATTTGAATCCTGGTTGTTAAAGTGACACTAAACTCAGGAGTTGAATTTTAAAAATACATTCAAGTAGCTTAACTATTAACAGAAATGTATCTTATTTGTGTATCACTTGGCTGTAGATCCTCAAATCCTCTCTGAATCGGTGCTGACACTGTCCTTCCTTCTGGACGGTGGCTACATTTGTGTGTTGTAATGTAGCCACCGCTTCAAGATTGCTCCTGTGATGGATTACAATCTCATGTTTAGTTTTCTCATTTGTATTAAGATTGTAGCGCATCATGGGAGTGCGCTTGGGACGGGGACCATGTAGAACAAACGTAGCGACCCTCCTTAAGGAAGGACAGTGTCAGCACCAATTCAGAGATGATTTGAGGATCTGCAGCTGAGTGATACACAAATAAAATACATTTTTGTTAATAAGATATTTGATTGCATTTTTAAGATTTAACTCCTGAGTTTAGTGTCACTTTGACTGAAGACTCCCTAAATGTGTTTACTCTGAAGTAGTTTGGCTTTATTTGCAGTTTACTCATAAATCCTTTTATTCTATTCCTTATATTGTAAAGCGCTGCGCAAACTGTTGGCGCTATATAAATACTATGTAAAAATAATAATAAATCAATTTAGCTTTGGTAGCTGCAGTCCTGTAAAGCAGCTGTTTGATACCTGTGGAGGTCTGAGGTACAGTCCATGCTGATAAGCATCATCAAGAAAGCTCTTGATTGTTTTGTAATGTTCATTGTTTCTGTATAGATCCAGATTAAGATTTTTACATTGCATACTGAGTAGAGCACAAGGCTTATTACTTATAATATATCCTTTATGTTCTCCAGGAATGGATGTCCAAAGGCCATGGTGAATACAGAGAAATTCCCAGTGAGAGAGATTTCTTTCAAGAAGTGAAAGAAAGTAAAAATGTTGTCTGTCACTTTTACAAGGACTCTACCATAAGGTATTTTACTATTATACTCAATATGTCACTTTGCAAATCAGTCTTGTACTTTTCAGCTTCAGATCTGCTGCTTCATTTGAGAGTGCAGCTTTTTCCAGTATGACTCAGCCTAGCCTAAGAAATCATTTGTTTATTATTGGGGTTCTAAGGTCAGGCTAAGCTGTCATAAAAAAGTCAAGTTTCTCACAGCAGTAAAAACCTCATAACCTCTAAGGGCCTTACTTCAGCCACCAGTCAGCATCAGCTCCACCCTGAAAGTCGAAATCTGATTGGTGGCTGTTAGGAAAAGACTCCCTGCTATCCTTAGTGGGTCATGTCAAACAACTGATTAGAACAAGGCATAATGTTTTGTAGACTGTTATTACTTTGCAAATAATACTGCATCTTTTTTTTTTAGAACAAGCCTCATTATGAATGTAATTTACAATTGATGCGTGATATTTAACCTTTCTTTTGAACAGGTGTAAAATAGTGGACAAGCATCTTGCATTGCTGGCTAAGAAACACATAGAAACCAAGTTCCTGAAGCTGAATGTGGAGAAAGCTCCTTTCCTGTGTGAGAGACTGCGGATAAAAGTCATCCCAACTCTTGCCCTGGTGAAAGATGGAAAGACCAAAGATTACGTGGTTGGTTTTACTGATTTGGGCAATACAGATGAATTTACCACAGAGACTTTGGAGTGGAGACTTGGCTGTGCTCATATTATTAACTACAGGTAATTTGTTTTCTCCAAACTATACTTCTGATATTTCAGATTGGTATAGTGCATTATAAAGTGCCTATGCCTGATACATTTGTTTTTGTTTGTAATACCTAAATGTTTGTTTGCTTACCTGGCAGTAATTTCAGTAAACCAATGCTAGCCGCAGCACTCAAGTACTCCCAATAGGCCATGATTTACTTATCACTTCACTCCCCACAGGTTAACATTCCTCCCTCCCTTCACCAAGTTTTATTAGGTTTTGGAGATATGTTGGGATATTGTTTTGTGCCTAAAAAAATTTTTAAGCACATAATACAGAATTTATATAGTGCCAACAGATTACACCGTGCTTTACAACATAAGGGGAGACAGTATAGTTACAACACCATTCAAGATCAGAGGGTTAGGTGGGCCCTGCTCATGAGAGCTTACATGTGGTCAGGAATTAATAAAATGGCACCGTCGTTCTATGTCTGTAGTCTCCCCATGCTTTCATGAGTTTTTGTCGCCCATACAGTAAGAGCAGATGTCTTCCATAGCATGCCACATATTTATTTAACATTTCTTGTGGTTCTTCACCAAGAACGCTATCGATCGTTCACCATAAATAATCATTCTGACTTAACAACAGATGAATCGACCTCCCATGGCATTCATAAATGTCGTTATGCGTTTGTGGTAACCCCCAGATGTGAAGAGGGCAGTGTCATTTCCTCCAGTGAGCACTCCCGTATTGCTCATGTTTTTTTCCAGAAAGCATAGCACAGTGTCAGTACATGCAATAAAAATGACATATAATGCAAGAACGTTCCAATGTTTATTTAAAACCCAATAAGAGTAATGATAGTATCAGATTAGAACAAAGTACGAAAGTAAAAATAAAATAAAAAATCTCAGTTCCCTTCCACTTAATGAGTAATGGAATGGCGTTCATGTGATAGCCCTGCTCGACATGTTTCAGCCTATGGAGGGGAAGGTTAGATCAGATGCAATTATATCATTACTCTTTAAGTTTCCATTATCAACATCAAGTTTGCATGTACCAACATCGTATTGTGCTTACACAGACAAGTCTGAGTATTACAGGAGGAAATTATGCTGACCGCTTCATGCCTGGGGTACCCCATTGCATATTGGCCTCTATGAATGGAATGTCACGTTTGTACTTATAATGGAACACACAGCTTCAGTCTCTGTTTTACACGGGGATGGAACTTTGTGAATGGTGACTCACTGCATGAAAATTCAAATGCATTTGTTGGATGTGTATATCATCTTTAAGTGGAAGATGCAGAATAAGAGGACCATGAAGCTGTTTTTTAAGATTATACTTACATGGTTAATGTTTGTTTTGCCTGACCCCCCCCCCCCCCCGGTGGGGACCTTGTT